CAACTTGGTGAGACCTCATCTCTACAATAAATCAAAAAATTAGCCGGGCATGGTAGCGCGCGCCTGTAGTTCCAGCTACTTGGAAGGCTGAGGCGGAAGGATCGCTGGAGCCCAGCAGGTCGAGGCTGGGGTGGCCGGGCAACAGAGTGAGACTCCAACTCAAAAAAAAAAAAAAGTGCTTATACATAGATAAAAAACTACTAGATAGAAGAATATTTATCAGACTATTAACATTTACCTCTGAGAGATTAAAGCTTATTTATTTTTCTTCAGTGATTATTTTTTATTTTTGCAATAAAGAAAACAATGCCAGTTAAAAATAGTTTCTCAGGATAAACTTTTTATGAATATATTCAAGTTCTCTGAATTACTCTATCTCTGGGTTATATTTAAGTAGGCTCTTAAGTCTATTGAAAACTGTAGAAATGAAAAATAAGGTCAAGTACTTTGACTGACACCTATAATCCCAGCACTTTGGGAAGCTAAGGAGGGAGAGTTGCTTGAGCCCATGAGTTCGAGACCAGCCTCATCTTTACAAAAAGTCAAAAAATTAGCAGCATGGTGGCACACACCTGTAGTCCCAGCTACTTGGGAGACCAAAGCAAAAAGATCACCTGAGCCCATTAAGGTGTTGTCATTGCATTCATGTCTGGATGACAGACTGAGACCCTAACTCAAAAAAAAAGAAAAAGAAAACTAGTGGTGACTGTATTAGTCCTCTTGGGCTGCCACAAGAAATACCATAAACATGATGACTTTACACAACAAACTTATTTTCCAGATCTGCAGACTGGAAGTCCAAGATCAAGGTGCCAACAGGGTTGGTATCTAGTGAGGACTCTCTTTTTGGGTGACAGACAGCTGTCTTCTACCTGTGTGCGTATATGACCTCTTCTTTGTGTGCACAAAGGTCTCCTTGGTGTCTCTTCTCACAAGAACACTAATCCTGTTGGACCAGGGCCCCACTCTTAAGATCTCAGTTAATGTAATTACTGCCTTAGATGTCCCATGTCTCCCTACAGGCACATTTGGCAGTTAAGGCTTAAATGTAGGAATTTGGGGGGCATATAAACATTTAGTCCATAATACCAGCCTTTTCAAAGGAGAATCTTGAATGTTCTAGACTCAGTGCTTGGAAATGGCATAAAAGAGATGAATAAGACATAGTTTCTCTCCTCAGGGAAGATTATAGAAAAATAAGCCAAAAGAAAAAGACCACCTATAGTTCCTCTACCCAGGAGCAGCTTGCTTTCTGATATCTTAGGGGAATAGTTTTTGTGCTTTCTGTGTGAAATATAAATATATGTGTGCCTGTTGTATATGTATTGTTTTTTGTTCAAATAAACATTAAGAGACAAAAAAAGTGTTCTTTTGTGAAACATCTGGGGTAGATGAAGCTTTGTTCCGATAAGTTGTACAGAAAATGTTGAGAAATTAGGTGCGTGTGTTTTTCCCCCCTGCACATAATATTTATGATTTTATTTGAGGAAGGGAAGAAACAAAAGAAATATGAGAGCTGCTAAACCTTTGAAGACACATAGATTTAGTCTCACAATTTGGGTTTAGTCCCGTAATTTTCTATTTGCAAATTTGCAGAATTATTCTACCATTCACCTTCTAAAAAACCCTATCATTCTTACTTTACAGATATTGTGTCACTTGAAATGTATAGCTTAGCTGACTGCAGGTTAGGTTATATCAGAAATTCAAGTTTTTATACATATCGAGTGTTAGTGAACTATAGTTTTACTTTCCAGCCAGTACTTGACCAATGACACTGATTTGTGCTTTAGCCACCAGCCTGGTTGTATGTAGAGTTGTCACCACTTATGAAAGCTTTTCTGATAAAATGAACTAGACTAGCTTTCCAAGTAGATGGGACTACAGGCATGTGCGCATTACCATGCCCGGCTTATTTTTTGATTTATTGTAGAGAAGAGGTCTCACTAAGTTGCCCAAGCTGGTCTCGAACCCCTGAGCTTAGACAATCCTCTCGCCTCAGCCTCCCAAAGTGCTGGTGGCTTGAGTCATTGCACCTGGCTTACATAGCCTTCTTCTAAATAAAGGCAGTGAATTCTCCATTTCCTACTGGAGGATTTAAATAAATAAAATTTGTTTAAATAAAATAAAATATGCTTATTCAACACTTCCTGCAAAGATGGCTTCATTAGTACCTTGGTCATTTTGTTGAAAGGATTATATTGCATTCTCATGTGAAATGTAGAAGGAAAGTCTTGCCTGATGAATGCTACATCGTATGTATTTTTGTTAAGCTAAGAGGTGAGAAAAGGCCAGACCAGTGGCTCACGCCTATAATCGCAGCACTTTGGGAGGCTGAGGCAAGAGGATTGCCTGAGCCCATAGGTTCGAGACCAGCCTGGGCAACTTGGCAAGCCCTCATCTCCACAACAAATCAAGAAAAATGAGCCAAGCGTGGTGGCACATGTCTGTAGTTCCAGCGACTTGGAAGGCTGAGGCAGGATTGCCTGAGTCCAGCAGGTTGAGGCTGCAGTGGCTGTGAGGGTGCCACTGCACTCCAGCTTGGGCAACAGAGTGAGACTTTGACTCAAAAAAAAAAAAAGAGGTAGGGAAAAAGTATTCACTTGCCTTTAAGTTACATCTGCTCCCACCAATGTAAGGATGAGTGAAACCAGAGTCTGTACCTGTTCTTGAAGGTTGCTGTGGAGCAGCCAACCCTTATTGCAGCTTCAGCACTACATATGCCCCCTGTTACCATGCACTAATAATCCATTCACAAATGTTTCTATCTAGGTTTTAAATATATTTGTTTATGAATACAGAATAGAAATGAGATCTAAACTTGACAAGAATAGACACACATCTTTGTATAGTACCAACTAGTAAGTTTTTCCATGGATCAAATGACTTACAAAAGTAGTAACGACAAAGCAAAAAATAATTGATTTGAAAGTTCATCTATTCCTATGTTCAATAAAGTTACATTTTTCTTCAGAAAAAAAAAATGGGAAAAATTTGTTAGGAGATGTCATATGTAGAAGAAAATAAAAGTTTCAAAAGACAAGAAATATTATTATTATGTAGAAGAAAATAAATAACACTTGGAAAAAAGTTTCAAAAGATAAGAAATATTATTATTATTACTATTATTATTATTTTTAGTTGAGGTCTCACTCTTTCACCCAGGGTAGAGTGCAGTGGCACAATCACCACTCACTGCCACCTTGACCTCCTGTGCTCAAGAGATCCTCCTACCTCAGCCTACTGAGTAGCTGAGACTACAGGTGTGCACCACCATGCCTGGCTAATTTTTTTATTTTTTTGTAGAGATGTGGTTTCCTATGCTGCCCAGGACTGTCTCAAACTGCAAGGCTTAAGTAATTCTCCCACCCTGGCCTCCCAGAGTGCTGGAAGTTAGCATTACAGGTGTGAGCCAAGAAAGAATTATTGTATATACATTAGGAAAAATACAAAATAGAAATCGTAGCTACTGTTTTTGAGCATTCATATTTTAGGGCCAGGCCTCTGCTATGTGTCCTCTCACTTCATCCTTAAAGCCACAAGAGAGGTTACAGTGTTCCATGTCACATACGAGTACCCAACACTAACTGAGCAGCAAAGATGTGCTCCCTCAGCATCTCAGAGTAGAGTTCCCCTTGGCTTTCTTCTCACAAACATCTTGTATTTTCCAAGGATCCTTCTATTGGGCTTTTTTTTTTCTGATCATAAAGGTGAGCGGGAGTAAAATAGGAAAGGTACATCTTTAACACCAAGTTCTGTGTCAGACAACATGGTTACCCATGGGATGAAGCTAACAGTATTTGGCCTGTTACTTTTGTGCCACTTGCCACCTCCCCTGAAAGAAGCTTTTCAGAGAAACTTCCTTGAGTGAAGATGGGTTAGTTACATTTCTTTGTCAGACAGCAGGGCAGTATACAAGAATACTCTGGCACACTGCTGCAGTTAATTTTGGCAGATCCTCTGAAATACTTGTTTTATATTTTATTTTGAGAACCTTGTCAGGAAACCAAGGAATATCTTTTTTTTTTTTTTTTTTTTTTTTGAGTTGAAGTCTCACTCTGTTGCCCAGACTGGAGTGCAGTGGCACGCTTCCAGCCACTGGAGCCTTGACCTACTGGGCTCTGGCAGTCCTTCTGCCTCAGCCTTCCAAGTAGTCAAAACTACAGGTGCACGCTGCCACGCCTGGCTAATTTTTGATTTATTGTAAAGACAAGGTCTCACCAAGTTTCCTGGGTGGGTCTCAAACCTGCAGTCTCAGGTAGTCCACTCGCCTTGGCCTCCCAAAGTGCTGGAATTACAGGCTGAGCCACCAAGCCCGGCCCCAAGGAATATCTTATCATCATGTAATCAGTTATTTCTTTTCAGAAGTTAATAACTGTGACAATGAAAATATTTTAATTTAAAAGTTTAGAGATAGGCTTTGGAAAAAGAAGAAAAATGAATTTTATCATTTTCTTTCCTGAACAAAACATATTAAAACCATTATATTGAAGATATATATAATTAAATATCACAGGGCAGTTATTTTCACTTCTACAGTCTTGCTACTGTACATGGATTTTGGAAGTGGTTTTGTTTTCCAGCCAAAATACTGTTTTCTTCTTGGGTAAACCACTTTTTTGTTTCTTTCTTAGAATATAGTTAATTGTGGCACTAGGAGAGTTTAAAATTACGTTCTGAAATCTGAACTCCATTACAATCGTAAACATTTCTGAGGTTAACATGCTTTTAGTATATTTCTTTATTCCTATTTCCCTTCTTAGTCCATTACAGATGCGAATAAATTTCCAAAAGTATATCTTAATTGTCTGGGATTTTTGACTTTAAATCATATTTCACATATACTAAGGGGCAAGTTTGATTATTCACACATTTTGTGAGGCCTATAAGCTTTATTTTGATTTATTGTTGAGTTACTTACACCTACTAGAATTATACTTCAGTGTAGAGAATTAAAGGTAATGATGGTAAACCTCTTTTCTTCATCATGTTTTCTTAAGGCTCCTGTTCCAAAGAGTGCACTTATTCCTGTAATTCCCATCACCAAATCAACAGGCTCTAGGTTCCGGAATAGTGTGGAAGGATTGAATCAAGAGATTGAAATAATAATTAAAGAGACTGGGGAAAAAGAAGAGCAACTCATAGTAAGTAATCTTGTGTCTTATAATCATCCTTACACATGAACTCTTCTCATTATTAAAAATTCACAATTTTATTTTCCATGTTTACTTAGGTTTCTTCCTTCTCATTGAGAGAGAATGAAAATTTATATCTTTTGAAAAAAGGGCAAGTGAATGAAAGATTTTCATTTCTTTGCATCTCATAGTGCAATCTGAGTGATCTAAGTGTGGATTCCTGAATAGAAACTATATTTTGTTTATCCATATTTAACAATCAGTAGACAGGTGATATACCTCTCATTTGCTATAACTTCCTTTAACAAAAGTTGATTTACTAATTTCGGGGTGGAGGGCTTTCATAATATTGAATACTTTCTCAGCATGAATCTGCCTGCTCCTTGGTTGATTGCCAGTTACTGTTTGGTTTTGGTTGGCAAGCTAGGCTCTATCATGCGTACGAAGAACAGTTAGAAATGACTGCTTACTCTCTACTAACTAGAATGCACATAAGAATGGTTCATATGTAAAACAGTGAGAAAAAGTACTGTTTAAGTTTTAAAACCAAGTCACAGAGTATATCTATCTAACCCTTTTATTCTTCAGTGAGGGAGGAAGTAGGGAGTTTGAAGTAGTATTTTGATGCTTAAGATTCTCTCCCTTAAGAGAAAAGGTTGGTTTTGCTTGGAGAAAGCACAGCTCCCCAGGCTCTCTTCTCCATTCTTCATGGTGGGGTAAACATTCCCTGATGTGAAAAATGTTGATGAATCAGAGGTACACAGGGTTGGTTTCCTTCTAAGTGAGCCACACTGGCTTCCTTCTGAGTGTCTCCTTCATTTTCCTCCTGTTAGTACTGCTGTTAGCATCTTTTCCTCACTTAGGAAGGTTCATTTGATTTCAACCCTTTTTTTATTTTTTATTTTTTTTGAGTTGGAGTCTCACTCAGTCGCCCAGACTGGAGTGCAGTGGCCGCTCCCGGCCACCGCAGCCTCGACCTGCTGGGCTCCGGCGATCCTTCCGCCTCAGCCTTCCAAGTAGCTGGAACTACAGGCACGTGCTACCACGCCCGGCTAATTTTTGATTTATTGTAGAGATGAGGTCTCGCCAAGTTGCCCAGGTGGGTCTTGAACCCTCAGGCTCAGGCAATCCACTCACCTCAGCCTCCCAAAACTGTGGGATTACAGGCTGAGCCACTGAGCCTGGCTTGATTCAACCCTTTAAGTGGGAGGAGGGTAACAAAGGCGTGGCACACTGTGGATGACCTTTTCCTCTAATATGGAGCCTAGTGTTACACTTAGATTTCTCTTCTTTTGCCATGGCCCTCCGTAGAATTTTTAAAATAATATTTAGCACATAATAAGCTATTCCATACACTTTATTGATTCAGCAAGCATTGGTCACTTGCTATGTGCCAGGCACTGGGAATACAAAGTTCACCTGAGACTCTCAGTAGGGAAGTCAGATTAGACAGGGATGTCCCTAAAGCAGCACATAGGCCTAGTAAGTAGGAGGGGTTTCTGATTTGTAAATCTCTGGCACTATAGGGAAGGTTGACAGTGGGTGCATACTGGTGACTTTCACAGTCAGTGGACAATATGCATATGCGTTAAACATTTTACAACAGCCACAAGATATTCCAGACGGCCATCGTGCTCCACCCCCGCTCGCACAGAGAAGTAGCAGCACGCGCAGCATCGACACGCAGACCCCTGGTGGGGCAGACAGGGGAAGCAACAACAGCAGCCGCTCCCAGTCTGTATCCCCCACATCGTTCCTCACCATTTCCCACGAAGGCAGCGAGGAGAGTCCTTGTTCAGCTGATGACCTGCTGGCTGACCCCAGAGACAAAGGTACCATGCTGAGGGAATTTGTTCGTAGGGATAGCTGGCTGCCACCTATTTTAGTGCTCATTTATTCATTTTTCTGGCAGATTACACACACTTGAGGCTTCTAGGGCAATGTGTTCAAAGCTTGGGTTTGAAAAAATTGGAGTACAAAACAGGCTTACTGTGGTGCTAAGTTGATGGACTGGTTGGATGGTTTATGGACTTTTATTTGTGCTTTTTTTTTTTTTGCATTTGTTAATACAGTTTTCTCATTCGTGAGAAATATTTCTTTTTGTTATAAATGAGATGAACAATTGTCCTGAAAAGCACTTTGGTCTCTGTCATCTTACAGTCATGATTTTATTACCCTATTATTTTTTAACTGAATATGAAGCCTTCAAGTTAGTGGCTTTTTTAGGCTCTGTATTTGTGATATTTTTAACAAGGATTCAAATGATTTATATCAGTGTGAGATGAATGTTCAAAGCAAGACTGGTATAAAAGGTTGGAAGGTGGAAGGTACTTGTGTACCTTAAAAACAACCTGGAGACAGAAGCAGTTTGAATATTAATTTAAAATATTCTTACCATTTAAGCAGATATGACATTTGCATTTGTCTTTATCAGGACAGTATTTTGTTAGCTAATCCTAGGTATTTTATGTGTTTGAAAGCAATAATATGACATTTATTTATAAATTCTAAAGCTCAGTTTAGTAGTCATTTATTTCAACCCTCCTACATACAGTGTGTTGAGTATTCTACAATGTTCTATTGTTATAACTGGCGGTTACTTATCACCCAGATCACTCAGATTGTTGAAACTGTAGCAAGTGCAAAAGATGGAAGATCCACTCAAGAAATCACTTTAAACTGTGAACTGTGAGCTGTAAACTGTTGTTATTGGGACCTTTTCTTGCTAGCTTCTAGGTCAGATAAAACATGCCTATTATAATCTGTCCCTTGATTTCTCATACTTCTTACTTTTATATCAGTAACATAAGATCTCCATAAATAAACTCAATAAACGTGTGTCCTGCTGCATTTGATTTTAGGAGTCTAGCAGCTGGTTGGCTTGTAAGAAAATAGGACCTCAGTTCTACTGCCAGCAAGGAATTAATTTGTAGCCTAGCTGACACAGACTGAAAATTTAGAACAGTTATGTAATATAATATAAACTGAGGACATCAGCACTGAACAAAAATCTCAGAGTAAAGAAGTTTTTCCTCTGATAGGGTTAATCTGGAAAGATTCCAAAAAATTTACGCTAGACCTTGAAGGAAGTTTTGGAAAATGAACATAACTTACCCCTTTTAGGTAAGGGGAAGCTCATAGGCAAAAGGAAGTGTTTGCATGCAGTGTCTTTACCTTCCTAGAGCAGAGAGCATAACCAGAAGAGAGAGAAATCAAATGCAGAAATTCTGAAGGGCAGATCAGGCATTTATGATCAGCAATAGTGAAGAACCATTTCAAAACTTATACTGGGAAAAATGGAAGTGATATTGAGTGTCTTTGCTGAGTATAGAATAGAAATGAGGCAGCCGACCTGTGTTCAGTACTGGGAATCATGGGACACAGGCCTAGGTTTTGATCATTGTGAGTGGAAAAGAAAAAGGATCTTTCATTTGTTTATGCATTTATTTAGCAAACATTAATTATCTCCTTTTTACCAGGAATTGTGTTAGATATTGTGATGATATTGATAAATACAGTATCTCTTCCTGCCCTCAAGTAGTTTATGGTGGGGTGGTGGCAAGAGCAGTTAAATATCATATGACTATACATTTATTTGCTAGATTCCTAGTAATCTCATGTGTCATTTCTTGCAGAGAATGGAAATAATTCTCCTTTGCCCAAATATGCAACCTCACCAAAGCCTAACAACAGTTATATGTTCAAAAGGGAACCTCCTGAGGGCTGTGAAAGGGTCAAAGTCTTTGAGGAATGCTCGTAAGTATCCCTCCAAAAAATTTATTATAAGAATTTTTAAATAAGCTGAAAGAGTGTTATAGTAATCACTCAAATACCAATCCCCAAATTATATAATAACTAACATTTTGCAGTATTTACTAAAAGCAACCGTAGTACTCCTGCATAACCACAATACTATTATCACATCTAAAAGTAGATAATAATGCTTAATATCAACTAAGAATTCCTAGTTGTTACTCACATATCCTTAGTTGTGCCCAGAGAATCTTCTGTAGCTGTCATTTTTGAACCTGTATCCAGTCAAGTTTACACATTGCAGATGGCATCATATTTATTCAAGATAGACCATGAACCTCACAGATCTCACCCTTCTTTCAAGGAAGCCAGCGTGGGCAACATAGATCCACTCTCATACCTACGTAAACAAATAAACATAGGTGTGTATGATGAAGAGAATGTAAGATGCAGAATTTTAACCTAGCAGTCATATCTGGTGCTCTTGGTGTGTGATCTAGACTCCCAAACGTCTGTTGGCAGGCCCGTTAGTCAGCTACTCCCATTTTAAACTCTTTGGTCTCCTGGAAAGTATTAACAGCCTTGTGTTTTCAGTAGCTTGTGTTTTCCGTGCCTTACAAGTGATGACTACAGGTATGGGAAGATTGAGCAGATTAGGTGATATACATTATTTGGGGGTAGGGTGAGGATACTTGGCCCTCCCCATCTTGTCTCACTGTGGCTGCAAGGCTAAGAGCCACCCATTGGACTTTTTCTTACAGTGAAACCTAAAATACAACATAGAGATTGTTCAGCCATTTGCAGGTCACACCATTTGTCTTTTTCCTCAGGAACATCTTAGAGTGATTTGAAATGTGGCATCTTTTTGTTTCTCTTGTGTGCCCTCTAGTCAGTGCTTCCTTTAATCTAAATTCTGAATAATCTTGCTACACAAAGAGCATTGTTTTCTAATTTCTTTAACTTCTCTGCTAGGAAACACCAGCTGTCAGTGACCTATCTGCTTCTGTGACCGTAACTGAAAACTGGTGTTGTAGCAGCTGCTTGTTTTAGTTTTTTTTTTTTTTTCACCATGCCAGCCTGTAAGTTTTAACGGGTGCTAGCTGAGAGATTAAGCCAGGATTTCTGGAAATTCGTTCCATGGACTACAAGCATCATAATCACCTGGGGAATTTATTGAAACTGCAGATTCCCAAGCTTAATGAATCATTAAATATGGAGGTAGAACCTGAGTTTTCCTCCTTTAACAAGTACTTCAGATGTTGTTTGTGCTCAGTTTGAAAAGACTGGTTTATGCCTTTCCATGAGAGTTCTTAAGAATGGGATCTTTCTTTCAGCAGTTTGAACATCTCATTCCAGTCCCTCCTGGCCTGTATCCTTTGCATTGAGAAGTCTGTTACTGGATGAACTGAAGCTCCTTTATATATAACGTGCTTCTTTTATCTTGCTACTTTTAGGATCCTCTCTTTGTCCTTGACCTTTGAGAGTTTGATGTTTATATGTCTTAGGGTAATGGGTAATGTTATTTCGATCAAATCTGCTGTCCTCTGACTTTCCTGTACTGGGTATTTATATCTTTGTCAAGTTTTGGAAAGCTTTCTGTGTTACTTCTTTGAATGAGCTTTCTACCCCTTTTTTCTGTTCTACTGTCTCTTGAACAATAATTCTTAGATGTAGTCTTTTTAAATTTTCTACATCTAGCCGGGCTTGGTAGCTCAGTCTGTAATCCCACCTTTTGGGAGGCTGAGGTGAGTGGATTGTCTGAGCCTGCGGGTTCGAGACCCGCCTGGGCAACTTGGTGAGACCTCATCTCTACAATAAATCAAAAAATTAGACGGGCATGGTAGCATGCGCCTGTAGTTCCAGCTTCTTGGAAGGCTGAGGCAGAAGGATCGCTGGAGCCCAGCAGATCGAGGCTGCAGTGGCCAGGAGCAGCCACTGCACTCCAGTCTGGGTGACAGAGTGAGACTCCAACTCAAAAAATAATAATAATTTTTTTTCTACATCGTATAGGCGGTCTTTGTTCTTTTTCATTCTTGTTTCTCCTCTGACTGTATGTTTTCACATAACCTTTCTTTGAGTTCACTGATTCTTTCCTCTGTTTAATCCATTCTGCTGTCGAGAGCCTGTAGTAAATTTTTCAATTCTGTAAGTGTATTTCTCAATTTCAAGATTTCAGTTTTTTGTGGTTTTATTTTGTTTTGTTTTTTAGTCAGAGTCTCACGTCTCACTCTGTCTCCCAGGCAGGAGTGCAGTGGCATAGTCACGGCTCCCCAGCCTCGACCTCCTGGGCTCAGGCGAGCCTTCTACCTCAGCCTCCCAAGTAACTGGGGCTACAGGCATGCACCACGATGCCTGGCTCATTTTATTTTATTTTATTTTTGTAGAGATGAGTTCTTGCTATGTTGCATAGGCTGGTCTCAAAACGCCTGGGCTCAAGCAGTCCTCCGGCTTTGGCCTCCCAAAGTGTTAGGATTACAGGCGTGAGCCACCATGCTCAGCCTGAATTTTTAAAAAATTATTTCAATCTCTTGTTAAATTTCCCTGACAAATTTCTGAATTGTTTTGTGGTATCTTGAAAGTCACTGAATTTCCTTAAAACTACTGTTTTGAATTATTGGTGAGTTCACATGTTGCCATCTCATTAGAGTCAGTCACTGGTGCCTTGCTTTGTCTGTTTGGGAGATCGTGGATCCGTTTGTAGTTGTTTCTTGTGGATGTACATCTGTGTCTTTGCATTGAAGATTAGCTATTTATTCCGGTCTTCCTTGTGTGGCTTGTCTGGGGTTTTACTGGATTTACTTATTTACAGATTCTTCACTGCCTCATGTTGGCTCTAGGTGGCGCCCTAAGTACAGGTTCATCAGGGCTCTAGTCAGTGATAAAATCTCTGCCCTTCCCAAATGGAGGAGGGGATCTCTCGGCAATTGGGAAAACCGGCCAGGGGTTGGTGTCCAGGGAACCTGTGGAACAAACTTCCTGCCTGGTGGGGCTGCTGAACAGCCACTCTGATTTGGCATCTCCTTTGGCCGAGTGACAGAACAGATTTCCCAGATCTGGGGTGGTGATCCCACCTTCTCTCTTTGTCTCAGGGATATTTCTCCTTTCTGGCACTCACAGTGCTTCTTGTGGGTTAATGTAGGGACAGGCTCCTGCTAGGGAACCCAGGATGGTGGGGAAGCTGGTTGTCCACCTCAATCTCACTGTTTTGTGAGTTGGGAAATCTCTATACTCTTCATGCTGGGCCAGATGGGCAGGGATGTTGTAGATGTGGAAGTCTGTGTCTCTTACTGTCTTCGCTATGTCCCTGGAAACTGTTTCATCCTACTTGAGTTCAGGATATTGCTGGTGATATCTCGGTGCTATATGGTGAAGACAGCTTGCTTCTTCGCAACCATTTGGAACAAGATAGCAGCAATGGGGTCATTCTGTTAAGTAAAAAGTCTGTTGGCCTAAATGTACCTTTTTGGAGTTGAGCTCTTTGATTTACTCATTCATTAAATGCAGGGAAATGGTTGATTGGCTCAAAAGCATTTTGAACTTTTTCTTTAATGACTTTGAGTATTTGTTGTGTCGGTGTGGTACCTGCCTTAGACTATTGCATTTGGAAATTTGGTGACTCAGTATCTGAGCCATATGCTAGTATGTTATTTGTATATGTAGAGAGAGCAGAAAAGACAGAGGTGTGTGTGCATGTGTGTGTGTATAGATAAATCAAAGAAACTTAAGATAAACCCTAACACCTTATGTGTTTTATGGCACAAGGATCTGTTATTAGAAGGAAAACCTATTTTTTAATGTAATGTTTATTATAAATTTTACTAGTATAAAGGATGTATAGCACACAAAAACTATGAGTATTTTAATTACATTTTAAAGATTAATTAGCAGTAATCCAAGAGTGGATTTCTTAGAGATAATTTTAACCTATTACCAATAAGTTACTTGTAGTGTTAAAAAATTAGTCTCTTTTTGTCGTAGCTATGTGAAAATTAGAGCAAAAGCCATTGTGCACATTAGCATTAAAGCAAAGGAACATTATTGGTTATAAGATAAAATTTTAGCTTATTTGATCATTCTTTTAAGAAGACTTTTCTAAGTCTTAGTTTGTGTTTAAAGTAGGAACTCTGAGCCGGGCTCAGTGACTCAGCCTGTAATCCCACGCTTTGGGAGGCCGAGGTGAGTGAATTGCCTGAGTCCGCGGGTTCGAGACCCGCCTGGGCAACTTGGTGAGACCTCATCTCTACAATAAATAAAAAATTAGCTGGGCGTGGTAGCACATGCCTGTAGTTCCAGCTACTTGGAAGGCTGAGGCAGAAGGATTGCCGGAGCCCAGCAGGTCGAGGCTGCGGTGGCCAGGAGCGGCCACTGCACTCCAGTCTGGGTGACAGAGTGAGACTCCAACTCAAAAAAATAAAATAAAGTAGGAACTCTGACCTGAACTGAGGTTTGAGATGGGATAAGAAGTGATCCCTGGTGCCTAGAAATGTATCTGTTACCTGGAAGAAAATAGATGGTTGGTTTTGGGCCTAGAAAGGGCAAAACCAAATTTTGTACTTTCGTGTCTCTTCTTTTTGATAACAACGGACGCCATAGCCATGCCATCTGTGTTTAGTAAGTCCTGTTTAATGAAGTTCAGTATGTTCTTTCCTGATCCCAGCTAATACTCCATGACCTTAGATTCCTAGATATTACGGCTTTTTTGCAATATAGAGGTATTTTTAAATTATATCTACTTTGAGACACAATCCTCTTGGAATAACTGCTTAAGGAAAAATACAGTTTTAAAAACAGTTCTGATATTTGGTTTTTTGTTTTTTCTTTTTTGTATGTATGGTTCTTAAGTTGAAGAATGCTTTGAAGTACTGTTAGTACTTGCAGCTTCTGTTAGTGCAAGTCTCATACCCCAGAAGTGGGGAATGTTCTTGGGTAATGCACTCGCAGAAGCTAGAGAGGGCGGGAGAGTGACTCTTCTGTGTGGAGTGTAATGACTGGAAAGGTCACGGGAAGTTTTGTGGTGCTTTTGTTATGTTGGTGTTAATGTTCTGTTTCATGATCTAATGAGTTAGGAAAGTTATTAGTGTTTACATTATTTTGGGTGAGCTATGTCATAAGTCTGTTTTCATGAAAGCAGCAAGGAAGTTAAATAGTTTTTGGATTCCTGTCATAAAAACACTGTTCCAGATCAAGAGCTTTATCATAGTCAGGAAGTTCGTTTGTATTTCAGAAATGTGAAGCTTCATCCCAGAGATCTGTGAGCAGTCATGTGTCTTAAGTTATTATTAACAAGATAGTTAGTTAATGAAAAACCTAGGCTTCTTTTGGATGGGGTTAAAATTAACTAGCATATTTTTTGCCTGTGAGAAATTTTTCATTCTATGAGAATGAAAGTTACCTCCAGTAATTGTCTTGAAAGGAAAATTCAAGCACTATTTAATTATTTTAAAAAACCAATTTGGATATTCCTATTTCTTTAAGGAACTGGAAACCAGGTGTGTGTTTTTTTTAAATCAGTAACATATCCAAACATACCTGTGGCCTACTAAGTTTTCATTGTATTCAAGAAAGAATAGTGCACAAGTAAAACATAATTTTAATAATGATGTGCTTTTCTTTGTTCTTAAATTGCTGAATTTCATGGAGCCACTTGTGTTTGCTACTAGGCAGGAGAGTGCCCACCTGGTCCCTGTGTGCTTGGAGCACATCATCTTGGTGCTCACACCTCAGGCCTGTCTGTCATTCACTCTTCAAAATCCAGCTCAAATGTTACTTCCTACCAATCCCTCCTTCTCCCTTGCACTCTCTGCCTCCACCCCTACCCCCTCAGATCTTTTATAAACCTTTGTCATTACATCTGTCAGACTCTTGCAGAGTTCTTGACCTCTTCTCGGTGCCGGACAGCTTCCACAGTCTGGCAAGGCTGTGGATCCCTTCTCTGAATAATGTTTTAAATGCATAAAATATGTATGATTATAAAGGAGAACTATGTTGAAATACAGTTCTGTCCTCGGCACCCTGTACCTCCATGAATTATAACTTTAGTCCATCTCTTCCGTGTCGATTTTTTTCATCTTTGTGTCCTCAGAATCTAGTGCAGACTTGGCACACTTGGATTTTATTGAACTGATTGAGGTTTTTTTTTTTTTTGAGTTGGAATCTCACTCTGTCACCCAGGCTGGAGGGCAGTGTCATGCTCCCAGCCACCGCAGCCTCGACCTGCCGGGCTCCGGCGATCCTTCCGCCACAGCCTTCCAAGTAGCTGGAACTACTGGCGCGCGATACCACACCCGGCTAATTTTTTGATTTATTGTAGAGATGAGGTCTCACCAAGTTACCCAGGTGGGTCTCGAACCCGCAGGCTCAGGCAATCCACTCATCTCAGCCTCCCAAAGTGCGAGATTACAGGCTGAGCCACTGAGCCCAGCTTGATTGAGATTTTAATTGTCATTGAGAGAGATAAGAATCAACCTAAATCTTGGTTTATTTAGCTTTTCCTGCCTTAATTTTGCTTTAGTTTTGTGGCACTTCCATGTTATTTTGACAATTTAATTTTTAAAAAATATTTTTGACTTTTATAGAATTAACATCAGTATCCTTTTCAACAATTTGGGAATTTCAGGAGGACCTAGGAACAAGGAAGATTTTGGCTTCAATAAAAACACTTTCAAAGCAAAGGAGTTTTTATTTACATTGCATTGCTCAGAAAACCATTGTGGTTAACTCAAAGAATTGTTTGTTAGAGAGATTAAGAGCACTTGAAGAGAAAACCCATCTGCCAAAGTCTAGTCCTTTGAGTGGTGGGACTCAGCAAAAGATGACCATTGTTTATCTTTGATCTCCTTGCTGTCGCCCTTCAGAATAGTAAAGGTCTTAGAAAAATCATGATAGTAGAACATGTTTTTGTCTTTAAACATCTAGGTTTTTTTTTTGCTTTGGGAAATCATTATCTGTTGGCTGTCTTAGGTCTTGACTGAAATGCCATGTTCATCGCCTGAGCCCCACATGGCACTGGGCCCTCGGGAAACTGCAAGTGGCAGTGACAAGGGGACCCTTCTGGCTTCACAGATGCCTATTTTGAATCATACATATAATATGAATCATACATCTAACTTTAGTCCTCAGCATTTGATGCTTTTGACATAGCTCGAGTTTTTGTCTGTAATTTACTTGTTTTTTTTTAAATAAAAGATCTTGTTTCCGATGTTCAATGACTTAATAGTATTGGGTTGTCTGTTCTACATCTAGGCCAAAACAGCTTCACGAAATCCCAGCCTTTTACTGTCCTGACAAAAACAAGGTGAATTTTATTCCTAAAAGCGGCTCTGCTTTCTGCCTCGTGAGCATCCTCAAGCCGCTCCTTCCCACCCCAGATCTTACCCTCAAGGGCTCTGGCCACAGCCTGACAGTCACCACCGGCATGACAACCACTCTGCTACAGCCCATTGCTGTGGCCTCTCTGTCGACAAATACGGAGCAAGACCGAGTGTCCCGAGGAACGAGTACAGTCATGTCATCAGCTTCTCTGCTCCCACCACCAGAATCCATCGAGGAAGCTGAAGGTTAGGTTCCATGCTGCGTGGCTGTTGTTCTAGGAAATTGGGAACCTCCTCCGATCACTTGACTACGATGGCATCATGCGTTCCCAGTTGGCTATGATGTGCTCTAGTTGTCCAGTGACATGACACGGAGGCTTCTGGAAGAAGGCAGCCCCTGTGACGGCTCTGCCCCACTCATGAAGGCCGACCGTCAGTGCTTAGCCTGCTTTTTCCGTAAAGCACTGATTGAAACAAGAAAGATCTCGTTCATTACTTTTAGAGGAACAATATCACGTTTTTTGCTTTCCAATTAGACTTCTTTAAACACACACACACACACACACACACACACACACACACAATCTGATCCTTGCAAACATGATTCCTGAAGGGAGACGTGAATGATGCTGCAAGAACCATCTTTTATATGAAAACGACTATTTTATAATACCAATGTTACATTTTCTGAAACATAGCAAACAGGATGTTCAAAAGATTCTTTGGTGGCCTCTGTTTCTTGTTCCCTTTCTAGATGTGTGCTTTTCTCAGCTGTTTTCAGCTTTGGGACCAAAGGGATTATTGACATATTCCAAGCAATCTTAATCTCATGACTGTGTTCTCCCAAACAAGGATTAATAGGTAAATGCATTGAACAAGAATATATAAAAAAAGATACAGAGCAATATTCGTACATTATGTGATTTATGTTTTTTGATGTCAAAAGTTTGTGCTTTGGGTGAAATATTTGTAAAACTGCTGTTTTCTTCACTATTCCTGGACACATTTCACCATGTGGTCAGAAAAATTATTGTCTGAAGACAAGTGCTTTAATATGTTCTCACCCATATTGAAACTTGGTTTAAAAGGTCAGGGAGCCAAAAGGAAACTATCCAGTGTTGATTGCCAGTAAGAAGGGCCCTTTGGTTTTCTGTGGAGTATGTATCACACGTTCTCCCTCCTCCACCACAGGTGTCATTCTACCTTCAGCCATCATTGTATCATAGCCCCAAGAGGTCATGAAATGGCTGTGCATGGATTTCCTCCTTTGCTTTTGTGATGATGTTGTCTTGTGGATTTGGTCGGGATTAGTAGTTTGCCAGGAGTGTGATCCGTTGAATAGCAGTCCATAGCCATGGAAATCTTGTGACTGACGTTTTCTTTATGGTGGTTGGCACAGAGATTTGTTGCCTACAGATGTTGCTAGTTTCCTCTCAAAGATTCCACACAGTGGGGAGAATCAACAAGAAGAACTTTGGAGCATAAATGATGGGCACCTTTGAGAACTCCATACAGTTTTCGATTTGGGCTCCTCCTAACACAGATCCCTGCCAGTGTCACATGTGTCACATGACAGCAGTCTTTCATTTCTGGGTATGTGGTAGTGAGATTAAGGAACAGCTTTTTAAAAAATGAGTGTCAGCAAACTGTTGAAGAAAAAGCACCCTTTTCATAGCTTCATATACTACCATGTGATGCAATAACTTACTGTTTCGTAGTAGTGTAAGTAGAAAAGGGTTTTTTAAATGGATACATCCTGTAGAAGGTCAGTATGTCAGCTTGTCCAGACATAACGCATCAAGGAAAACCTACTGGTAGCAATAAATCTTCTGAAAGGACTTCTTGTACTCATGCACCTTTAACATATCTAAGTACTTTAAAATGAGCCCTCTTAAGCTAAAAATGGTAATGTATTTAGGTACATCAGATAAATTCAGACATTTGAATAAATCTGCCAGGTTTTAGTTGGTAGGATCAATGAAATTTGGTACTTCTTCCATCCAAAACTAACTTACTTGTAACTAGTACATAAGGCTTCTCAATCAACGAAAGCCCAGTTATTGGGGGTTTACATTTCCTGATTGAGAATCTTAATTTTTTGCCCTTTTGTTATGCATCTGTATTGACTCTTTCACCACTGAGGAGCCACACTATCAGAAGTACAAAAGAAAAGGCAAAACTGAAACCAGGTGAGTTGCAGTGAATGGAGGAGGAAGGAAGTAGTTAACAGGTCTAAAAAAAAAACACCTCAGTTTTTTTATTACTTGAATTCTATTAAATCTACATTCTTTGCTTTATACTTCCCTTTCTGTCCGCATCCCCACTAGTCACAACGGTATTTTACAACTGGAATGCCACTTCATCCCTCTTTCTCTGCTGTGCACATTTGTCTAATTCATATCTTTCTGTAGCGTTTCATATATCATTAATCTGAAGTAATTTAAAACCAGAACGGAGGAACAAGTATCAGATTTGTCATTTCCAGTCTTATAAATAGAACTCTCAGTCTAATGTTTGGTTGTAAGGAGAATGAGTTTGCAGGTAAATGAATTGCATGGCAACCAGACATGTGCCCTGGCTTTGGGAGAAATACCCTGAGATTTGAAATCAAAAGGTACAAGGAACAGAACAATGCTAACTACCAGTGCCAAAGGGCTACTTTTTAAGCATATAAGCTTTATCATAGTCTTGAAAAATATTAACCATAGCTTCATTCAGCTGCTTTATTTAACCCTTAGTTCCCAGATAGCTGGTTTTTTTTTTTTAAATGGGTCTCCAGCTTTCCAGTGAAATGTGACACTATTCTCAATAGTATGCGTAATACTGTTTTCTAAAATTACACTCCATAATTATTGTTATTCTGTAGAAAACTGTACAGAAGACAAATAGAATAGCTTCAATAGGAATATAATTTAAAATTTTTTTAAATTTTAAATAAATTCACTTCCATTGCAGTAAAAGAAATGAGTGGCATGTGTCTTTTAGCAAAAGGAGCTATTCTCTGGTTTTTCACTTTGTCAATCTTAGTTTTTCTTTTGCCCCAAACAATTTCCTTGTGATGATAAAAGTTATATAAGTTTACTGTTTCTGACTATGACTAAGTCTATTACTTGTTGTGGCTTTTGTGAACAATTATGTTTTAAAAATACCAGTTTTGCCTCTTTGGTTAAATATGGTGAGCATGGATATCACAATTATTTTTTAACTAGATTCTTCAGTTTATTTAATTTTTAAAATAGAGACAGGGTCTTGCTGTGTCACCCAGGTTGGTGTGTCACCCAGATTGGTCCCAAACTCCTGACCACAGGTGATCCTCCTGTCTCGGCCTCCTGTAGTGTTGGGATTACAGGCATGAGCCACCACATACGGCCTTTTGGATTCTTTAAAAGATTTCTTACACTTGTGACCATAGGCCAGATCCGTCTTTTAGAAGGTACTTTTGCTAATTGTAGAATATCTGACAACGTGAAAGACCTTTTTCCCTTTTCTAAATGGTTGGCTTTCAATGGAAGAAGATGTAAAAAAATGACAGAATTTACAGTCTTCTCTATGTCCAAGATTAGGACTATGTTATTAAGATCTTCTTTTAAGGAAAATAAAGGAAAAATTGCCACTACTAATTAGTCTAAACTTAAGAGTCATTCCTTAATATTTGGTATTTTGGTGTCTCAAAATCAGACCAGTGCTGAGTTTGCAAAATAAAGCTGAGAATACTTAACTCTGCACTTTAAGCTGTAAGTTTTATTTTGCCTAAATTAATGATAAGCAGAGCAGCCCTGAACAATTTTTTATTTATACAGTCCTGTTGAGGAGTATAATTTTTTTTTAATCTTCATTTTTCATCTCTGTTGAAGCTGTGTAAATCTTTTGAAATGCAATTTTGAAAAATTTTGTTTTTTGAACAGTTCTTCCCCCAAAAAACAGCAAGCATTTCCAGTGGTGATAGGTATTATTCCTGTGTACTTATGTATTCCCTGTACCTGAACACTTGTTGCTGCCTCACAAGAAAATAGAACTTTTATGTTAAAAATAAAGTCTGTTCTTCTTGAGAGTCTTCCTGTGAATTTTTATGACTGCTGTCTCTAATTCAAGTTGTTTCTTTTCAAACATTTCTAGCCTGAAATAACTTTTAAACGGTATATTGTTCACAAAGTGATAGGAAACGTGTCACGTCGGCAGCAGGTTCTTGCTGCCCTCACCTTGCTCCGAACTGGAGGTGCCTGACCTTCGTGGCACGTGCTCAGCATCAGCATCAGCAGGCCAAGAGCATGAGAGGCACACGGGACCAGTTCACAGTTGGCTAGAGATGAGGGACTGGGGCAGTTGCGCCAATTCATTCTAAAGTACATGAAGAGGGTTCTTTTTTTCCCTCTTACTGATTAATCCTTGCTAAATCTACCATTGTCTTCCTTTGTGACAGTGGTTTTGTTTATATATGCAAGATGGTTGTTTGGGCCGAGGGAATTAGACTACATCCACATAACAGAGCTGGTCAGAAGGCAGCACTGGAATCACTTAGATAGCAGGGACACATTTTAAGGAAGTAAAAAAGTCACCACAGGAATTTGGTCACCAGATTATTTTGTTAAATTTGTTGCTTAAATTTAGAGACAGGGTCTCACTCTGTTGCCCAGGCTAGAATGCAATGGTATGATCATAGCTCACTGTAGCCTTTAACTCTTGGACTTAAGCAACCCTCACACCTCAGCCTTCCAAGTAGCTGGGACTATAGGTGTGTACTACCACACCTGGCTAATATTTAAAATTTTTTTATAGAAATGGGGTCTCATTATGTTGGGCAGGCTGGTCTCAAACTCCTGGCTTCAAGTGATTCTTCCAGCCTTGGCCTCCCAAAGTGCTGGGATTACCGGCATGAGTCACCACATCCAGTTAAGATTTTTTTTTAATTCTTTCTTTTGAGTCAGAGTTTCACTCTGTCACCCAGGCTGGAGTGCAGTGGCATGCTTATGGCTGCCACAGCCTCAATGGAAGGCAATCCTTCCACTTCAGCCTTCCAGGTAGCTGGAACCACAGGCACAAGCTGGTCTCAAACCCGTGGACTCATGCAATCCTCTCTCTTCCACCTCCCAAAGTTCTGAGATTACAGGTGTGAGCCACCATGCCCAGCTAAAAAATTACTTCTAAAGGAAAGTGTTAACCAGAGTTTGGGGATAGCTAGGTGTGTTTGTGAGTGTGAGTGTGTGTGTGTGTGTGTGTGTGTGTTATATTTGAACATAGAATCAACTGCAAAGAGAATTGGCACATAAAGTTTTCTACCTTTCTTTGTCTCAGTCTTTCTTTCACTCAAGAGGTTGAGAGGAGCAAATATGTAAAATGTAGTACTTGTATCCTCTTCATAGCAGTTCCTATTCATGGATACCAAATACCAGACTTCCTCCTAGATTTCTTTTAAAATATCTTTTTATCTACTTGGACAAGAATATTAAAGTATGTTATGATGTTTGCTCAACCATGCTTCTGCCATTTTCTTTTACTGTCCTGCCTGCATGGTGACACTAGCATTCATTTGATTAATGCCATCTTTTGAGTGAAGGTCATACTTTTTTTTTTTTGAGTTGGAGTCTGACTCTGTCACCCAGACTGGAGTGCACTGGCCACTCCCAGCCACTGCAGCCTCGATCTGCTGGGCTCCAGCGATCCTTCCGCCTCAGCCTTCTGAGTAGCCGGAATTACAGGTACATGCTACCATGCCCAGCTGATTTTTATTTATTGTAGAGATGAGGTCTTGCCAAGTTGCCCAGGTGGGTCTCGAACCCGCGGGCTCAGGAATGTCATACTTAAAATGTGTATACAATTTTTGGCATTCCCTAATTTTTATAATAACCCCATGAAGCCAAGTACTGCTGTTTTGACTGTCATATAGATAACAATATCAGAAGTAGGTCAGGTAACTTGTCTATGGTCACATAGCTGGGAAATGTCAAAGTCTAGCTTTGAGCCAAGTCTTACTCTAGAATTCATATTTAACCACTAAACCTCACTGCTATTCTGCCTACATAGGTGACACTGATCAAATATAGGTGTTGGTTTAATTGAAGATTATGTCATTGCCATTGCCTTGTTTGTTCTCTTTTGTGGTCCTCTTCATTGCTACAACTGCTGGCACTTGGTTTCAAGTGCAAAAAAAAAAAACAAGCTGGATAGACATCAGCTCCTGACCAGGGAAATCAGTGACAAATTCTCAAGCTCTCTGGTTTTTAGTGTTGCTATAGCTGCAAAAATTAGAGAATACATATACACATATATGTCTCTTTAAAACACACACACACACGTACATACACATACATATTTTTTAATTTGAAGAGCACATCTTTTACAGAAAAAGCTAACTAACTTCAATCACCTTTTTGGTAGATTTTTTAAATTTACCTGATTTTTTTTTTTTTTTAGGGAAAAACTTATAAAGGCAGCTTTTAAATCTCAATAACTTGGTATGTCCATTTCAGAGAGCAAAGACAATAAAATGAGATCACCCATAGTATGAAATGCATGACTTTCAGTACTACTGAGTTGTTAACATTTAAACAACTGTTTACTTTCTAATTTCTGTATCCCACAATTCTGGGGCTGCTTCATTGCTCCAGGCAGAGAAACACAGAGCCATGCCGACTATGGAAGACAGAAGTGACTGGATCAGTTTTGCTGTCTTCTTTTTATTCCTACTTTCAGCAAATCAAGTTAAATACTATGGCTTCAATACAAATTTGAGACAGAATTTTTTGTTTTATGCCATCTTGCAATCTTTCTTAAAAGAGGCTCAAAAATAGAGCACGTTTAAATTTCTTTTGTTCTAATGCTTTAAGATCTCTACATTTCTAGATGGTCTAAGCAGATAATTATGTGAAATAAATATCCATAGTTGAAATGCAAACACTTTTTCAATGTGCAAATACTGAAATCTATTTTGTTGAAATACAATTTGTTTCTAATCCTGTCAGATTTATGTTTTACAGTTAAAGATTTCAAAAAATAGTCATGCTGATCTGATTGTATTATGCCCTGTATTGCTACCTCCCCTGTAAAGTGATTGTGGAAACAGTAGGCAAATTTTAGTTCTTCTGGTAGCTTTTTAAAGCTTAAACGCATCCTTATCTGGTATAAAATAAAGTAGAAGACACATGTTTCTCCCCATTTAACGTAAAAAATAACTATTTTGAAAGCTGTTTTCAGCTTACCCTTGGTGAAGGATAGTTAATTTCCTTCTACTGAATGGATGGTCTAGATCGAGGCACCCAGTTACCTTGTTGTTCTGTCCTTCCACCCCTCACCACATGTGTGGTTGGTTTCCTAAATTAGCATTGTTGGTTAAAAGAGCAAAATGCATTTTTCTGACCACAAAATTAATGATTAAGCATCAACTAATATTGAGAAAATAGGAATGGTTACAGTTATCAATATCCTCTTCAAAAATAGAGTGGTTAGACTTGTTGAAGTTATAACTAGACTTGCTAACTAAGGCAGTTAATGTTGCTTTACGGAAACTAAGCACCGAATACTAAAAATCTCTTGTATATCTCTTTGGGGAGAACCTTTGCTCTTGAAAAATAAAGTGTATTATCCTTTCACTTCATAGGATGGGATTCAGGCTTTGGGTTTTCCTACTCGTTGAAGCACTTTTGTTTATACCAGGTAGCAGGGACAGCTGTATGCATGTGAGGGAGATATATAAATATCTCTGAACTAATGCATCAGCAAGACTACCACTGCAAAGAAAAAATGGCACAGACTCTCAAGACAAAATTAGTGGGTTTTTTTTTTTAGTTGGAGTCTCACTCTGTCGCCCAGATGGAGTGCAGTGGCCGCTCCCAGCCACCGCAGCCTCGACCTGCTGGGCTCCGGCGATCATCCTACCTCAGCCTTCCGAGTAGCTGGAACTACAGGCGCTTACTACCACACCCGGCTAATTTTTTGATTTATGTAGAGATGAGGTCTCACTAAGTTGCCCAGGTGGGTCTCGAACCCACAGGCTCAGGCAATCCACTCACCTCAACCTCCCAAGGCACGGGATTATAGGCTGAGCCACCGAGCCCAGCTCCAAAGTTAGTGTTTTTGAGACACTCAAAGTTGAGAGTACCAGAGTCACCATGAGTACAGAATTTAGATTGTGATTCATAATCATAAGCTTGGTGATTGAATCTTGGCAGAACAATGACAATATTGCATTCTGAGAAATTTCACTAAATACAAAAGAAGAGTTAAAAAATTTTTCTAAAGAGATACATGACAGCTCACAAACCAAATAAATAAGTAATACTGTGAAAATATTTTGAGGAAAGACTTTATAATCTTTTCCTAAGTCCATGTTTCTGACCTTCAGATAACGTCTCTCCACCTATGCAGTACTTGGCCATTACAGTGTTTTCTAGAAAGCTTGAAGGCAGTTAATAATCGTAATTAGGTCAGAGTGCTATGGACAGGAAGTGGACCACATTTTGCCTTCTTCAGTCCATTCTTCAAAAATGTTTTCTATGTATCATGACTTGGACATTACAAGCAATTCTCCTCTAAATAAGCCAGTTTAGAATAAGAGCACATGGGAACTACTGTGAACAACTTAGCTATATGGAAATGCAGTAAGCTGGATGACAAAAATAAAACACTTGGAAAATTGCCTTAGAACTAAAGGGTGGGCAAGAAAAAAAGGAAAGGAATTGAATGACTGACGTCATTGTGTTTTCATCAGCTAACCCTAACTTCCAGGAAATGGCCTTCCCTCCATCACTTGAGTTCTAAACCCTCTAAGAGTAACAGTCTTTGGTTAGTAATTAAACACCTCAGATGATGCCACCCGTAGGAAGGGAGAAGTAGAAAAATAAGACACTCCCTATTGAGCACACAGCTTCCGTATCTCTGCCAGAAAGTACTGTGGGCTAAATCATGTCACAAATACTGGGTAAGTATGAAAATATGTATAAGGTTAAGGTATTTGGAACCATCTCCCTCATTCAGACAGAAGTTTCCAGGTGGTTTCAGGAGTATTACTGCCAGTTTCTTAGGGACTGTTTTCCCCTTGTTTCTCTTCAGGAAGAACAGGAACACTGCATGTGACTACAGCAGTGTTGTGAGAGACCAGGCCTGAAGATACTGGTACAAGTCTTGAGTACCACTGGGCATTTTGTGGTTTGTGAGATGGGAAGATTTTTCCATTTCTACAGAGGATGGGCTTAACAAATTAATTATTCTGCTACCTTCATGAAAATTTAATAATGGAATTGGGGGTATCTTGATATTGTATGAATGATCATTATATTTTAGCCTTAAAATGAAGAAAAACAAGTGCCAAGTTTCTCTGTGATTTCATTAAAGCTAATTGAGTTTCCAAATGTTATTCTACCTTTCTAAACACACAAGCTGGTCAGATTCTAAGGCTATTTTCCACAACAGAAAATCTCCCACTACTGTTTTATTTTAAAGAACAACCCAAGCTATGAAACAATTTACATGCTGGCCTTTACCACATACAGAATTCTCACAACCAGCAAGGTAACTTAAAGGCTTTCCATAGAAGTAAGCCCAACTCCTTATTGGAAGATTTATTCCTAGCTGTTATTTTGACATAAATGTTGGTGTCTAAATATAGCAGATTCATTAGTTTCTAATATTTTCCGAATAGTATCAGCAGGTGCAAAGCCAAGATATTAGATATACTTAATCTGCTCAAGTGTAGCCATTATCATCTGTCTAAAGTTGGCTGGTAGATGTTATATTCACAAACACCCTGCTTTTTTGTAGGTTGCAAAGGCAATATGCTACAAAAGTGATGTTTCAAGGCCACTGAAGTGACACTATAATTCCAGTCAGGCATTAAGAAGTTCATCATCTGAGTGTCCAATAGCATCTGGGTTTGAAAGTGGATCCAAGTCTGCAAATAGACTGAACCAAGCTGACATGTCTTGGTTACTGTTGTTCGGGGCTGTTAAAAAGAAAAAAACACATTAAAGAGCTTCAGCTTTTTGAAATTATGTTTTTGTACCACTTTTATGATTTGGAAGTAGATGCTGCTTTTGAAAGATAACTGACAATAACAAATTATCAATTATATCCTCTTAAGGATAATTTTGAACAGCTAATGCAGATACCTTGTGCTTTGCTGAGGCATCTATATTTAAATTGCATGCTGTTCTAAGAAAGAACTTGAATTAAAAGTGAAAGGTGGCTGGGTGCTATGGCTAAAGCCTGTAATTGCAGCACTTTGGGAGGCTGAGGCGAAAGGATTGCCTGAGCCTATGGGTTGCAGACCAGCCTGGGCAACATGGTGAGACCTCATTGCTACAATAAAATTTTTTTTAATTATAAAAAATAAAAAGCCAGGCTCGGTGGCTCAGCCTGTAATCCCGTGCCTTTGGGAGGCTGAGGTGAGTGGATTGCCTGAGCCCGCAGATTCGAGACCCACCTGGGCAACTTGGCAAGACCTCATCTCTACAATAAGTCAAAATGAGCCAGGCATGGTAGCGTGCACCTGTAGTTCCAGCTACTTGGAAGGCTGAGGTGGAAGGATCGCCGGAGCCCAGCAGGTCGAGGCTGCGGTGGCCAGGAGTGGCCACTGCACTCCAGTCTGGGCGACAGAGTGCAACTCCAACTCAAAAAAAATAAATTAAAAAATAAAAAGTGAAAGGCAGGCAACAATACAGTCTTCATAGAAACATTTAAGATGATCTACAAAAGGCTCTCAGATGAGTTTAAAAGTATATGTGGGCTGGGTGCGGTGGCTCAAGACTGTAATCCCAGCACTTTGGGAGGCTGAGGCGAGAGGACTGCCTGGACTACTTGGTGAGACCTCGTCTCTACAATATATCAAACAATTGGCTAGGCGTGATAGTGTGCGCCTGTAGTTCCAGCTACTTGGAAGGCTGAGGCAGAAGAATTGCATGAGTCCAGCGGGTTGAGGCTGGGGTGGCTGCGAGCGTGCCATGCACTCCAGCCTGGGTGACAGAGTGAGACTCTGACTCAAAATTTAAAAAAAAGTATAAGTGGTCTTTTTTCCCATCAAGTGAGAGGTGACATTAATAAACTCAGTGCTACAAATCTATTGTAATAAGTGTTACAAAAATATTAGACATAAGGCAAAAAAATTCCTTGAATTCTACCACGGTAGCACACCCAACAGCTGTCATTTTAGTTAAAGTCTTTCTTTTGTCTTCTCCATATGCACTTCTAAATTTTTTTTTTTTTTTGAGTTGGAGTCTCATTCTGTTGCCCAGACTGGAGTGCAGTGGCCGCTCCCGGCCACCGCAGCCTCGACCTGCTGGGCTCTGGCGATCCTTCTGCCTCAGCCTTCCGAGTAGCTGGAATTACAGGCGCGCGCTACCATGCCCAGCTGATTTTTTTATTTATTGTAGAGATGAGGTCTCGCTGCCCTATTTTACAGCATGTGTTGTGTCTTGGATACAACTTCTTGTTAATGAAATCCCTCACATCTCCCTATGGAGTCTGAAAAATGTTATCTCGACAGTCTACAAGTTGCACTGTGGCAGATATTCAAGGGTGTATGCTTAGGCTGAGGGCTAGGGTGCATAAAGACTGACAGTGGCACAGACAATTGGTTGTGGCAGAAGGGTAGACCCCTGAAGGCCACAGAGTCCAGATAGGGTAGAAACCCAGAGGCCAACACTGAGAGATATCTCAGTGGGCAGAGGGCAGAAGGCATTCCTACCCTGAAGAGTCAAGACAACCCTTTGACAGTCCTGGTTAGCACCCATCACGCCAGACGGCTGGGGTTTGAACTGTGGAGATCTGAAGGGTCAAGGATCAGGGCAGCGTGGAAGGTACCCAGGTCTAGGGATACCCTGTGGTAGGATCAGTGACACAGGGTTCTGGCTTTGATCCTGGTGTACAACCTACTCTGAGGAATATTGGGCAAGTCGTTTAACCTCAAGGGCTCTTGTTTCCTCATTGTAAAGTAACAGCCATATGATTCATCATTAAATCGGGATTCCTGAGAGTAAATAAGGATGCTATTAATAATTATGCTAGAAGCATAGGCATCAGCCAGGACGGGTGGTCACTAAAGCAATAACTGACCTCCCTCATGCAGTGTTGAGGGTTCTGGTAGATATGTAAAAATTGTACAGCCTATGCAAATGTGGGATGGTTTTACATAAAGGGAAATGAGGGTCTCTTGATTACATTTTTCAAGGGGGTTCTCCTTGTATACACTATTATTGCCTCCGAGATCATTGTAGGATAGCAAATAGAAGATAAATTGTGATAAAGAGTTAAAAAGGGACCCAAGCCGGGCTCGGTGACTCAGCCTGTAATCCCGCGCCTTTGGGAGGCTGAGATGAGTGGATTAACTGAGCCCGCGGGTTCGAGACCCGCCTGGGCGGTGAGACCTCATCTCTACAATAAATCAA